TTGCAGAATATTCTGTATGTTATTGTTTTCTTCTTAGGCCGTCAAATATCCAAGCGTTAATTGACAATCAAAAATGAGTCACATTTAGTTGTTGATTTTTTTGAGTTTATTGTTGATCAAGTACTGTGTGAGTGGGGAATTTGAATGAGCCCGTAAAGTGGTCGATGATTGTTTGGTACTAATGAGACTGCCATTAGTTTGTTGCTCAAAATAGTCATCGTTTAATTCATTATGATAATTTTCCACCTTTTTCGATAGTCCCACCGAAAATATCTGGTGTATTGCATCGTGAAGGCACAAAAAATTGTATTCAACCACTCCTTGTCTGGTATAGTTATAGTCACGTAAAATACAAACTAAAGCTAAAAACTTGTCAATTTCACGCAGATACAGAATTATGCCGTTGTTCAATTTGATGACGCTTCCGCTTTGTTCATCAATCGGCGTATTGAGATCAGCACTGCAACAAATAATCAAAGGTTACTTGAAATTTGTTCATAAACAAAGCAAAATTTTGTTCTTACCTATAAATAGTCGATAAATCTGTCACAACATCAATCAAATCACAGCACAGTTCAAAACTTTGCATATCAACCGGCGATGAGTCCGTAGCCACATAGATTTTCGAGCCGACATCAAACAAAAATGCCTTTTCCACACCCGAATTCTGCACATGTGAAAGAAAGGAAATTGATAAAAATTAGTTTGTAAACAAAAATCAATCTTTTTGCTGCAATCAGTCTCTTTTTTTGCTATTCATATGTGTACGTATTATCAAGTGATGGTTTCAGTTTTGATCTTTGACCTAATGGATTTTGATTGCTGATAACAAAAATCCGAAAAATTGCGAAAGCAACTTACCACAATAAAAATGTTGAGAAGATTTTCTAGCTTCGGCAGCTGTGGCACTAATTTTTGTATGACCTTTGAAAATGCCTCAAATATGGAGTAGTCGTAGATTGACGTTAAATGAAAATTCAGGCAAATACATTCGAACGATGCGTCAGCCAAGTCGTCTGTTGCGCGTTGATGAATGTCTCGCTGTGTTTCAAGTTTTAAATCATCATTAATTCCATCAACTTTATGAATAAACACCTCGAACTTTATGGATTTATTCACTTCATATGCTTTCAAAACGGTTTTGTTCAATTTGGCCAGTGCTTCGATGTAATCGTCGTGTGCATCAATAACAAAGACAAGTGCGTTACATCGCTTAAATATAATTTCAGAATCAAATGATGGATCGAAAAAGAAGTCAATTTGTCCCGGAAAATCCCAGCACTGAAACTTTATGAAACTATTATTTTCAATGTCACTTTTCACGATTTTATTGGTCGATTCCAAGAAGAGCGTTTCATTCGGTGACATTTTACCAAACACGACTTTCTGAATTGAACTTTTGCCAGAGCGTCTCAATCCCATCAGCAAAATTCGTGGCTTTTCATTGTCTTCATCGGGCGATGAATTGGTTCGATCGTCATCTTCATACAATGAATAACTGTAATCCCTTGGAAACGAACTGCTGCTTATGTTCAGACGATACATTTCATCGATGCTGTCGACACTCTGATACTAACAATAACAAACAACAATATGAAATCAACAAAATTATCAAAAAACAACAAAATATGCCAGATGCCTACCATTTTTGTGTGATATTGTTATATCAACTAGAGAAAAACAATGAAGCCGATAAATTTACCAAGAAAAACACCATTCGAAAATAGCAACGTCTTTGTTTACGCAATGTCAAAATGGTTGTGAAAAAATGGTTATGAGTCAGAATATTGCAGCGAATGTGATTGAGCAATGTTGTTGTTATAATGAATAAGTGACACAATGCAAGTTAGATGTGTTGAACAATTAACCAGCTGATAATGTCAACGTAGCAAACGAGTGAGCTGAAACTTGTACTTACTCTTGATTTATTTTTAGTTCGTTCTCAAAAAAAGGCGTTCTATGGATGTGCATCAGTTATTGTTTAATCTTATAACTTGACATTTGAAGCTATTACTATGAAGGCATACGCAAGACGATAAGATGTGTCAGAAAGTACATTCGCTTGTTTCTACACGATTCTCAATGTATGAGTAAAGTTCTCCAGTGATCGCAGTTAAAATGTCATTTTTGTTTATGTTTTGGTTTTTTCTATGCTTGGTATGTGTAATAATTTCCTGTATGAATCGAAATGTGTTTCATGAAACTAAATAAAATAATAAATTCATCAGCTTATTTGATTCAATTCAAAGGATATCTTATTTGAAAATCGTAGAAAATGAAATTAAGCGAACAATTTAAATGTAATTAATTTGTTATTGAAGAATTGGAATTTTTTTGATGTTATGTTCTTAAATTTGGTTGAAATGCAGTGTGGAAATCATTCCCCCCTCAGATTTGGAGTCGAAAATCACAACAATGCCATCATCCATTTCAACTTTGTTCTTCAGTTTATAACGTGTACAGTACATGCTGGACCGCAGAGCATGTTGCATTCGTATTTCAATCTAAATTTGGATGTTCGTTTGTGAAAGAGGACCGATAAATTAATTATCCATTGCCTTGGGAAAAGACGCGGTTCAAATGTTTCATTGTGACACAATTAGCACATCTTTAGTGTCACACAAACAGTCACGAGGACTTTTTAAAATGTTTCAAATTTTGTCGTAATAGTTCAAAGAGATTCATTTTAATGTGCCAAATAGAAATAGTTTGATTGAATATTGAAAATTCAATTTTCAGAATAATTTTAATGAAACAATTGTTCATTTTTTTTTTTGAAAGACATTTTTTTATCAAAGCCCATCGTCATTCATCACAGATAGGACATTATATTAATATCCTAATTAAATCGTAATCTTCATCTTTTAGATGATATCTGTTATGTCTTCAAATAATATTTTAAAAAAACATGAATTTTCCGTTTAGAAAGTCTTGTCCAAAAATGTTCAATTTTTTAAATGTTTTTTTTTTACTTTGAAAAACTTTAAAATTTAATTATTTTAATCATTAAATCTACACCTCTAAATGTTCTGACCTATTTATAGTGTTCAAAATCACTGCATGTCTAGAAAAGAAAACATCAATCATTATTCACGTTTATTTTGGATGTTGTGAAAATTGTACATCGAATTGTATGTGATTTATTTGAATTTTATAATTTTCGCCCATAATCTAAATTGACATATGTAAAATGATGCAATCAATGTTCAATTTGATAACATAAACATCTATTGAAATGAATGAAATATCCCTAACGTTGATTATGTACAAGAAATTTAAAAAAAATCGAAGAAATAATGCAATGAAAATGTGTGCATCGCTATTCTTCTCATGTCTCATGGTATATAGGAATTGTTTTGTGTCGCTTTCAATTACATTCTTGAATTTCATTTCCCGGTTGTTGCGATGAGCCTGATCTTGCCCCAGATGTTTTAACCATGCATGAACGTGCCACTGATTCGAATAACCTATCGAAGATTTATGGAAAATTGTTTAGTATCACAAAATGAAATCGAATAATGTCAAGGTAAACGGACATACTTCTCAATTTCCGGTGCACAGTGAACAAAATCATGTTCCCAAAACTTGTAAATTGGATTTTTGATGAGTTCAATGAATGTGATCAACAAACCCCATGGATGTGGACGATTAACGATCAATCGCTCCAAAAGAACACGCGTTATTTGTTCCTGTAAAAAAAAAAAAAAAAATCAAACAAAATCATTGATTCGATTTGTCCAAAATGAAAATGTCATAAAACCAAACTAAAGTATATAAAGAAAACCCGAAATTCTCACCTGAATAGCTTCGGAATTGGCTTCAACAAAGAGATAGAGCAATGTGCAGCTGAAATAGTGTGTATGACTATTTGGATAGCGAAGTTGATTGGCAACCGCGTTCAAGAAAAGATACCGTCCTTCATGATCCAAATCAACAATCAAATTTTGAAAAATGTCCATGTGTGAACAGTGCACAATGGTTGTCATATTTGGTACGAGATTCTTTGAACTAAAAACGAACAAAAAAGACACAAATATTTTCGTTAGAAATAAAATTCGATGCATAATTTGTATTAAAAATGTTAATTATTTACCGAATATGATCAATGGCCTGTGTTCCAACATAGAGTACCAAAGCGTTCATCAATTGGGTGTTGTACTTTGAGCCCGATGTATTTGATACCTGTAAACGTCCCCGCAATTCGGATAAGAATGTGACTGGTGCTCGTGCCTTCAAATATGAGTCCAATTCGTTTTTGAAAGAGGTGGGTTGAATGTTGCTTACAAAGTTTGCGAAAACTCTTGGTGATGCGGTGATATCGTTTAGCATATCGACTTTAAGATTTGGCGTAAATGGATCCGGTAGACGCATATTCCGTGGGAATGCTGCCAAAACTAAGTTTCGCAATTGAATACAATTCGATGGGATCACATCACAAAAAGCAAAATGATAATCGCCCAAAAATTCCGGAAAATCATGTAACAAAACGAGCAACACACGTAACGTTCCTTTGTACAGCAATTGAACCGGTTTGGCCAATTCAGCGTTACGTAAAAATGGTGCCAAATAACGGAACAGATCCAATATCAATTGTGAGTACATTGCCCATCCTTTTTGTTGTGGTGTCAACGCCAAGACACGACCGATAAAAACGCGATGCGAAATGAGCTCAAGCCATGAATAGCAAAAACCGGGTGCAACTGATGGCCGTAAAATGTGGTATGTGTGACAGAATGCGGTCGATACACTTAAGCTAATCGATTCCAATTCGGGTGCGCTCAATTCCAAAAACAGCATAATAAAGAAACGATGATAGCCAAGCTGTTGGAATGATGTGCCATGTTGTTCTTGATCATGCAACAATACACCGACAATTATGCCAAGAATTTTATTGAGTAAATTAATTTTGGTCGCTGAATTCGGATTATCACCGGAATATTTCACAATCAGTGCAATCAAACGAATAAAAGCATCAATGTAATGGAAAACTTTGGCCTTGTTCTGTTGTGACGACGCCGTTGGATCGTGTAAATTACGACTCAGTTCGATGCACCATTGTGTGGCTTTTGTAAAGAAACGTGTTATCAATTCGTCGGTCTTCAGCACGCCATACAAATTCAATTTGTTAACAAATGAACTAAATGATTTTGCATCACGGCTACCACTTGCGCTGACATGATAATTGTTTGCCCAATCTTTTAATAAAAATTCCACCTTTTCAGCCATTCCCGGATCGTTGAATTCAATCGAACGCACTTGTGAAATGCCCGAATGAATGTGTGACGTTGGTCCAGTTGTGACACGATCAATGCCCATTGCATCGGTAGACATGCGCAACATTTCAATCAAATGCGGTAGTCCCTCTGGTGAACGTTGCATTGTAGACAATCGACTCAATGTTTCAATTGTATTTGTAAAATCTTTTTCGGTGAATCGGATCTTTTGTCGATCATCGACAAACAAGCGTTGCATTAATTGCATCGAAAATGAAATCGCCAAAAAGTTACCACTGTCCAACAATGTGCTGAGCATGCAATCATACTGCAATACATTGGCCAAATTTGTTGCAAGCAATAGTTCAACAGCTTCCAAATTATAACGAATATCCTCACGGCAATCAATCATACGCATTGTTACAAATTGTTGCGTAAACTTTGGACCGTATGCACGTTCATCATTCATCCATGTCAATAGATCCAAGTGCAGGGCACGGTAATGTGTTTTCAATAGGCTGGTCTGTGTGGTGACACATTCAAATATATTATCAACCGCTCGATTGATCAAATTCACTGTGCTTAGTTCATTGTTTGCACGCTTTGCAGCCATTATACATTCGACCAATGCACGTGTATTTCTCATATGCACAAGAAGGCCGGGTGCATAGTTGACACTAGCCACGAATGCATCCATTCTTGCAATTAACTCATCCAGTTTTGAACCCATTTCATTGCCACTGCTCATTGGCGGCGCCGTGGCTGGTATCGGATTCGATTCGGTTACGCTAGCAAATGTAGGTATTGTTGTCTGAAAAATGGAAATTTTTCAATCGTCTCTTGTACAACTTTATTTGATTCGAAAAATATTAGAGTCAGTCTTACCTGTGAAGTAATCGTTTTATCATAGAGTATTGCTGCATCACGATCAGTCATCGGTTGGAAACCAGGAATATTTCGACCAAATGCCTCGTACACGGTAAAGTGTTCACTTGGAATGTCGCCAACTTTCAAGCGGATTGGTTCCGGCATTCGGGTCGTCTGATACGTCAAAACAGACGCATCATAATGTCTCCTGAAACAAGATTAATTTCATGAGTGCCACGAAACGAAACACAAATAGTTCGAAAAAAAGTTTGAATTTACCTTCCTTCTTGACGAGCCGCCTTTCTGGCATCAAAATCGGCTGCCAATCGTTTTTCAACTTCAGCAACCGCTTTCTCGGTGGCCGTTTTCTGTATAAATACACACGTCAATTCCGTATTATCGTTTGCAATTTGAATGGCCATTTCGTTCAATTCATGCGCATTCATAAGCATCGATTGTGCAAACGATGCAACTATATTTTTCTGTATAACTTGATTCAATGAATCGCGACATGTGATCATTGACATGCCGGCCGATAAATTTCGAACCATATAATGTGCGGCTTTTCGTACTTCCGTTTCGTCTGGATCCAATGCAAAATCTTTGCGCATAATTTGTTCACATGTTGTGACCGCAATGCGAACGCTGCGCTCAACAACGGGCACAAGACATTCACTGATCGATCGTTCAATGGCCACTTGTACAACAGCTTTTAATTGTTGATGCGTATGGAATATACTAAGATTTGGTGAAAATACAAGATGTTGTGCTAGATTTTTGATATTTCCAATCGAAATGTCGTTGAAATTGAATTTCGCTTCGGGTATCTCACTGTTTTGATTCGGTGATTCGGTTGGTATTTGTGGTTGTATTGGAATCTGTGGTATCTGTGGTATCGGTGATTTTTTTTGTTCTTCTTTCTTTATTACCGACAATTGATGTTCAATATTGTTGAATCGTTCCGGATCTCTTAGGTATATTCCCGGTTTCAAATCGGCCACTTCAATTGATAATGTTTTGCACAGCACTTCAATTTCAAATTTAAGATTTAATTTGAGATCTGGCTCTTGATGCAGTTCGCCCAATACATTCATCAGGCCCATGGTCCATGGATTCGGTGGTTTGAATACTTTACCTTTGGCACATGATTCAAGAATTTTTGCCACAAATGGCACCACATACATTAGATCTTGTTGACCACGATGATAGGCTTCAAGCAGTAGCGATTTTAAATCAAGATCAATGTGTAGAATCGGACGATTTCGGCCCAATGTCATCACACCCAACCAATGGCCAAGATTTTTCAATAGGCTTCGATCGGAGAAATTTTCAATCCCTTTATCCGAACTCAATAGAACGCGAATGTTGCGAAACGTTTCATCGGTCACCAATTCAATGATCTCCTGATTTTTCAACTCATCCAATAAATTCGAATAGACGGTGTGAAAATTAAGTTCGATTGATACCCGTTTCAACACCATATACTGTGACAACCATGGAAAAAAATCTTTGGTAAGAAATTTCTTGAGTTCAGCACATTTATCGGGCACATTTGTAACGCTCAAATTATTGAAAATAAATGCTGTCTTATCTTGCACAGCGGACGGTGGATGGATGATTTTTCGACACCGATCCGAATTTGCCACCAGTAATGTATTCAAATTTGTACCCGTGAACGTTTGGGCAGTCTTGGACGCTTTTGTTGGTGTTGTGTAAGCATTTTTTCCAGTCTCCGAACTACTGCGATATAATGCCGCTGCATTTGCTTGTGCAAGTGGCTGCAAGTTATAAGACAAACATTTAGAAAGTTAAAATAGTTGGTGTTCTCTCTCGCTTCACAACGGATTAAACTTACCGTTGGACCTTGTGGTTTATTTGGTGGTTGACTACCGTCTATGCCAAATTTAACGTATTCAATTAGATGGGCTGGAAATTTGTTAAATGTTGGAATTTGCTGAACGTGTTCACAGTAATCGGAATACATATAAAGTCGACTCTTGAATCGATCCAACGAAGTGATGCCAAAGTGATACATTTTCGATCCTTCTGGCTTTCGAAGTGCTTCCAATACATAACGCAATGCAATACCAAGTTGTTGAACTGTCGGCACCAAATTACGTTCAATAATACCACCAAATAGTTCAGCGGTGATTTGTAGCTCTTTATCGGGATATTCATGGAAGAAACGATATTCTTCGAATAAATTTCGTACCATACACTGTTGCACCTCACGTTCCCGTTCAACTGTTGATTTACTGAAACGCTGCAATATGTCTAACACTTCGTCGATGGACAACGATTCATGCGGCGAATGATTATAAATTCGTATAAAATAGCCGTTTGCTTCTTCTTCGATTTCATTTGTTGCTTTTGGTGTGTTTTCGGAAAAACTGGGATTGTTTGTTGTTATCGCTGCTATATTCACCTTATCGCTGCTCGGCGACACCGGAATTCGTCCTATATTGTTATTTACGGGTGGCCGTAAACCACTGCCCAATGGCATTGGTGGCATTTGAAATGGGCTATTCGGTTGAACTTGCTGTAGAAGATGCGATGGGGATGCAGGCGTCGTTACCAAATTGTTCATTAGATTTGTATTGAAATTAAATGATCCACCAGTCGATGGGCCGCTTAAATTCATACCGGCCAAATTTGAACTCAAACCAGATATCGAATCCATCGATGGACCACCAAAATTAGCTGAAATTAAAAGATTTGATGCATTTGTCGAACAGAGAAAAAGTGATGATTTTTTACTTACATCCAGCCACCGACGACATAAGATTAGTGTCTATGCTACGACGAAACAGGCCTTGAAGGGGCATTAGTTGTTGTTGTTGTTGATGCTGCTGCTGCTGTTGCTGTTGTCGTTGTTTGTTTAACAAAATATTACAATTGGTTGTCAGTTGAACAATTGCATCGTTCAAATCTTGTTGAACATTTCCAATGCATGGTTGCAAACAATTTATTATCGTCGATAGTATTTCATGTGGTAATTGTGATACTTTTGTTAAATGATCGTCGAGAATCTTGGCGCCAGTAATTTGTGGACAACGACGTTGTAAATATGAGATAATCGATTGTACAAATTGTTCACCATTCTCCCGTATTTTTTCCGTTAAATATTTATCCAATTTTAGAAATTCTCGTCTCGACGCTGCCACCGCCAAATCAATAACAAATTGAAATGATCGAACGTTCAATAAGCTTGATAATGAACCCAGTTCATTGGCCAAATCGAGAATGCGAATCAAACGTGTTTGATCAACATTATCGGTAGCACCGCCACGTACATACCAATCGCTCATTGAATGATTGATGATGTGTCGCAGTGAAAAATTATTGAATTTCGTTGAATTCCATGCATGACTCAAAATCGGAATCGAATTCGGATGAGTACCAAAGAAAATTGGTAACAACGATTGAAACATCTCTTGCACCAAAACTGTCATCGGCGGACCAATTTGTAATAGGGCCATGAATAAAATATCCGGACAATGTTGCATGGGCACTTTGAAGTGTTCCAATACTTGTGGATAGTATCCTTTCTCAGCAATGAACAGTAAAATTTCAATTAAATGTATCGATCTCCATGCGATAATTTCTTTGCTATCATTCTCGGGTTGTACCTTGAACGATTCAATTGCCACACTTTTGAATATGTTATCAGCAAATGAATAAACGTCCGGACTTTTCAGAATCATGCCAATAAGCGATAGTTGACCTTGTGTATTTGTCCACATGCGATAAATGATATCAACGGGAAATTGTTTACCGCCACCACTGGTCTGCATGCCAAGCTCAACGATTGTCATGAGTAGCACAAGTGCGCCACGATCTTTAATGATAAAATCACCATGATCGAATGCAATGCAAATTTCTTTCCAATTCATTGTCGGCACAACATCCATCAACGCTTGAACGAATACATCTGGTTTCCATGCCGTGTGCTCGGTCATATGATTTTTTTCACCTGAATCTTGGCCACCGGATGCACTGTCATTATTCGTTGATGGCCAAAATGTACTCGGATTCGGCAAATTAATACTCAATTCCGATAAATTTTCATGTGTTCGACACATTAATGCAATGATTTTTGCCACATCTTGTGCAGATAACTCACGTCCACTAAATTTTGTCAAATGATTTTTACACTCTTCTTTACTCGCTGTAAATGCATAACCTGAAATTAAAAACGAGACACACACAGGTTAGATGACATGGATATAAAATCCGATCGGATAGCGTTCACAACATACCAATATCCATAACAAGATTTGGCCATGATGTATCCATGATAGCCGTTGTTAAAATGCCCTGCGAATTGGCGGACATTTTTTCAGCGGAAATCTCTGTATTTTCTCGATAAATCAATGGCGCCAAAATTAATGGGCAACGTTCACGTGGAAAATCGCCACTAATTTGTGTGATAAATTTCTTATAGGTCAACTCGGTTATATCGTAATTTTTGTATTTATCGTGCGACAATAACGATAGCACTAATTGTAATAATTCAGGCGATATGTCGGATAAACCGCCCTCTGGAGTCGATTGATTGGTATCTATATTTAAAAAACAAATTTATTGATTAAATTTCGGAAAAAAAATCGAATTCAAATCGATAAAAAGGCATTTACCTAATTCCACATAGGATTGTATCAATGATGGCAAACAAACTTTGAGTTGATTTTCGGCTAGGCGGACAAATTCGGGATTTTTCGAGTAGGTAAGCGCCAATGAAATAACCACTTCAAGTATCGGTGAACAATTCAACGCTTTGAACAATTGACTGAATAAATTGGGACTTGGTTTCAATGTCTAACCAAAAAAAAATGTTGAAAAAAAAATCATCAATTGAATAGAATTGAAAGTTTGAAAAATCACTTCAGAATGGTCAAGTCTCACCTTTTGTTTGATAAAACAATTGTCGATGGCAAAACAAATGTTTGTAATCAACGACGATTTGCTGAGCACAGTGTTCAATTCTTGTTTGAGTAGTCTTGCTTGCAGTGACTTTTTTGCCGTTTGATTGTTGGCCTCCGTGAAATCCACGGATGAGAACAAACAACGCAGAAGATGTCGATCCGCTTCTAGTCCGAACGGTTTAACGAGCTACAGCATCATTCGATGTTTATCCAGCATCAATTCATGCAATTTAATTACCGAAACAAGAAATGAAAAGAGGTGGAAATTATTACACTATCGTAAATGTTCTTTTTTGCGGTATTTTGCCGCTGTCTGAAACTGGATCTATTTTATTGCCAGAAACTATAAACATTACAATCGACTTATGCATATTTGACCGCTTCGTTTCCATTTGTTTCTGATGTGGAATACAAAATGTTGGATTCGTTTGTTCCCTACCCAAATCACTACCTTCCCATCTAATACCTCTTCACGTAACTTAAAAATTAATAAAATGTAAATACTACTCGCACAAGCATGTCGATTTTATAGGTTCTGTTCGATGCTTGTGGCAAACAAAGAAGAAAACCATTTATTCAATTTTAAAATTAGTATGGCAAAATTTGGCGTTACCAATTTGGAATCCAAATTATTTCAACAGAAATGAAAACGCATTTTTAGTCACAAATTCACTGAGAATAAATTTTAGGAACATTCCACACATCAACACAAAAAAGCCACTTTTTTCCATTTGTTCATACAATACAATGTTAAACGTCAAACTGTGCAAAGAGGTAGTCAAAGAGTGTATGTACAAGAAGTTGTTGGTTATGTACTACACAATAGACTAGAACAGCATAAAGACATGCAAGCGATAAAAAAACTGAACTTTATGCATGAAGCTGTACAATGGTGCCATAATGATACGTATGCACCGGCAACACGATGCGCGTCTAAATAACTGTTTCGATTGCGGTGATTTGAAAATCTAGAACCACGTTTCTACAAATTACACTTATTTTTTTCTCTTTCCCCAAACGGCATCCATTAAGTTTGCACATATTTGGGAAAAAAAATATTTTATTGGAATATGTCGATCATGAATCGTTTCACTCACAATAGAAAATTGATTGACTTCATAATGTAAAACGAAATCTGTGATTGCTGATTCGACGAATGAAAAATGCTAACGAAGAGACGAAAGTGAAGCGGAAAAAAATTTGTCTTACCGATTCGATTTGCCGTGAATTTTGGTCAAAATTCTTCTTCTTCAAGGTAGAAACCAAGTAATTAATCTGCGTCAATGAAAATGATAATGCTTCCTGGTTCATAGTTTCATTTGGCACGGCATTGAGATTCTTCAAAAACAACTCGGTGTTGTTGAAGCTCTCATCTGCAAACTAAATTTCGATTCAATAGAAGAAATCGGGCACAATTTGTTTTTTTTTTTTAAATATTGTCAAAGTGTTTTCAAAGTTTTATTTTTATTTTAATTCACTGTTTTCGCTGCACGATTGCACTAAATAGAAAAAAACTGTTTATTTTTATTTGGATTTTAATTCAATGAAAGTTTATTTTTAAAAAGTTGAACTTTTTTTCTCTCTTTCGTATCAGTCGACGTGAAATATATGATGAAATCAAGTGAAAAGACTCAGTAGATGTCTTGTTTGATCCGGCATACACATAGTGTCAATTCAAGTAAGACGAGAATTCATTGACATTTGAATGGATGCGTTTAATGACAATGATGGGAACACAATGAATACGGTTAGAGTTCATTTGACAATTTTATTCAAAAACACATATTGTGAATTATTTCTGAATTTTTTTCTATATTGAATACACCTGAGCAGAGTATTGCTCAGCGCTGCTGCCATCCACAGCATATTAAAATATCTTGCTGAGAATGCGTCGTCCGTCGCATGCGAACGTACGTAGCAGTTTATACATCACAGCGAACAAGAATGAATCCATTGTTCTCTTCACGATTATGTGACTCAAAACATTCAAACGATTGAATAGAGAACAATGCATCTATTGTTGTTCGCTGTGATGTATAAACTGCTACGTACCTTTTATAGCTCCAACATTTTTTATAGCTCCGGTGATATCCATTTTTAATGAAATAATGAAATACTTGCAGTTAGTAGTTTAGCGGTATGCTTTTGGCGGTAATGTCAAAATTGGCAATGAAGTTAGTTATATGTTCATAACATTCGAAAATTGGCCATGGTTCACATTACATACGAAAATTGCGTATGGTTTATATTTACGATGGTAATACGCATGTCCATTGCGTGAAACTCATTTTACAAAAGGACTAACTTCATTATTGCACGCGTAATAAAAATGATTTAACTATAAATTTTTGCATAATTTAATTTGAATTAAACAAAACTTATTATTTCAGATACTTGAATATCGTTCTTCAAATCAACACTTATTTTTTTTGTATGCAAAAATTTGAATTCAAACGAAATGGCTATACAAAAAGGGAAAAAAGGACAATAAAATTGCCGAATCGAATAGAGCTTGAAAATTTGACAATTTTAAGCGAGCATCGAATCAGTGATATCTTAGAAAAAAAATTAACTCATTAGAAAATACAAAAAGAAAATTCGAAAAAATGAAAATTACAAATTTAAATACTGACTGCATGGAACTGGTTTTTGAACACTTAGAATTGAAAGATTTGCTAAATATTTCAGACAGCAGCAACCAGTTCTATAGTGCAGTATGCAGAGTGTACAAAAAAAAGTACCTGAACATGGACCCAGCATTTGATAAGGAGGAAAACATAACATTTCGGTTAATATACCAATCATTTGAATATATGTATTTGTACTTCCCAATATTTACATTTAATAATACATTTGAATTTAAATTTACACTTTTCCAGCAAATGTATTGATTTAGAAGATGAATGTTACGCGTTGAAGAAGAATCCAAAAATATTCATAACAAATCCAATGATATTCTTGAAACTTTTACGCAATTTCGGATACCTAATTAGGAATTTGGCGGTTAATTTCTCAACTTTAAATGTCAACCTGTGTACTGGAATCGAAAACTATTTGGAACAATATTGTTTTGATTCATTACAACGATTGTCTCTAAAGTGTCATTTGTTGAAAATTCCTTTCAAAAATGTACGAAAACCATTGAAAAAAATATCATCTTTGAGAATCTATACAATCAGAGATCAAAAAGGCGATTACATTCAATTTTTTAATGAAAATAATTTACCAAATGTCCAATATATCACAATACACAACGGAGATAATTTTCAAGATTCTGAAAATATCCATTACGAAAATATAGAATATTTCACGTTTTGTACTCCAACCCTAGTGTGTAAATTTCCATTTTCATTTGGAAATCTTAAGCATTTAATACTTGCGGGTAATATCAGACTGAACGATGAATTATGTGAATGTATTAGTAATGTTGAACATTTGACAACATTAACCCTCAAACGCACACGTGGGGTCTCTTAGGCCCTAAGAGTTAGTTTTTTGAAAAAATCACAAAAATATAAAAAAAAATTGGAAAATTTCGCTGAGCGTTTTCTTTTTTAATATCATATCTATGTGATAAAATCAAAAATTTCAATGTTTGGTGCATAGATGAAGTTTTGGGAAGTCTTATACAAAATACTAACGTAAAAGCACAACGGGGTCTTTTGGACCCCAAATTATTTTGTATGGGAAATGATGTATTCTGTATGGGCCAATATGAAACTCATGGAGATTTGTTGACACAACAATTTACATTTCATCAAACAACAACACAGTAAATTGTTTCGTCCGTGACGTATACTGTTCATCGCAAATCAAATGGCATTTGCCATTATAATATATATTCATACATTGTTTTTTTTTGGATAGGATAGATCCGTAAGATCTCCACAAGAGCTTGATCTAAGCGTGCATACGCCGCCGCATGATATATCCGTTCGTTTTTCTGTGTTGCTTCGACGCGCAAATCAAAGCAGGCGTGCCAATCAAAGTATGTATCATGCGGCGGCCTACGCACGCTTAGACCCAGCTCTTGCGGAGATCTTACGGATCTATCCTATCCAAAACACAATGTATGGGCATATTTCGTGAATTTGGTGAACGTTGCTGGTGTGGCAGGGTTTGCCTTGTTGCGAACGTCTAACAACATGTTTGCCAAGTATGGAGGAAGAACGGAAGCAGCGCGATCTCATCGCACTCCATATAAAGCAATGTAATTGGTTTCGATCACGCAAATGTGCTGCCACCTGGTGTCTCAGAGTTAAGCTGATATATCACACATGCTTCTTGCAAATGCAGAAGAAGAAGAAGGAAAAATGTTTACATAGGGTTGAACTTATAAATGCCAGAGAGCTACAGTGTTCAAAGTGCGATCGCCCTTCGGGAAGCAGTCTCTATATTGATCTCACATATCGAGAGGTAGTTCGGCGCAGTACACGAAGCACATTAACTGGCCAACGACTGTCGATTAGCGATATTAGTGAAAGACACGACTGTCTGATAGTCGTACATATCAATAACTACCAAGAATTTTGATAAATAATTGATTTCTTTTTCCATAAAAATCAATATTAAATTGTGATGCTGTATTGGAAAGTAAGGAATAAGCTATGTTTTAACTATAAAATGACATATTTTACTCATTGGATACCATTTTGCATAAGTTTTGTATGAAATTTCTCATGGGTCCAAAAAGACCCCACCTGTGCGCTTACGTTACTGTTTTAGCCTGTGCGGTTAAGGGTTAAAAATAATAACATTATCATTGCTTCGAATGAATTCGAATTCGTTTCGTAAACTATTAGAGTTAAAAAATATTCACTCAAATGTTGTGGAAATGCAATTTGCATTTGCTAATAATATGTTTGCTGACGACATTCTTCATTTTCTAAAACAAAGTAAAAACATAAGAAAATTTACGGTTCATTTTCATGACATTGGATCGCAAGAGACTACTTATAACTTCTCAATTCTATTGAAAAAAATACCATTAGAATTAGGCGATGAGTGGAAATATCTTACTATCGATACATATAGAATTCCTTTTTATACGTGGGAGACTTCCGTTTTTAAATGCTTCATTATTGAAAGGAAAATTGATTGACAAATTCAACAATGCTGCTCGACACTAACATCATAATAAAATGAATTTCAACGTTGGAATTTTTCCCAAACTGAGAAAAAACTAGACGATTGCATCCAGAAATAGGAATTCCATCACCATAAGGAAATTGTAAATGACACAAACTCAGAATTTTATAAAATTAATTTATGTGAAATCAAAATTGTTTTCGATTTCATTGCAAATGTGATCGCAGCTGAACAACTTTTTCCACAATAAATTCATTGATGTGATTGGCATAAGTGTTTTATTAACTTTTTTTATTTATTAGTATTTTTAATTGCATTATCTTTTTACCAAATAATTCTCTCACATTCCTGTGAAATGGGAAATATTTGCTTAATTTCATGTTTTCGAAAATTTGCCACATCAGTACAACACGATTATGATATGTATGTTTGTATGTACGTATGTGAAATGCTCTCCTGCCAAGTGCCACCTGAGTGTCGGAATCGTTGTTCGTAGGAAAAATATGAAAATAAAATAATTATATTTTATTAGTGAAATTGAAAGTAGATTATAATTTGTGAGTTTTGGTATTGAAAGGAAAAAACTGAACAAAACAAATATTATTTATTTAAAATAAACAACGTAAGAGTCAATATAATAATAGAATTTACCTAGGAATTTGCATTGTTAAAAATGGATAAATTTATCAGGATTTATTAAATTAACATAATAATTAAAAAAAAAAATCAAAAAACATAAATTTGCATACAATATAGAATATAACAATAATAGCTGAAATTATTTGCTTCAATTCATTTTATAAGTTGTCATTAGGGTTCCAAAAAGAAGGGCCAACTTCACGCACTATAAAAACTAGAAATTGCAAAAATAATAAAAAATATGTATTTTTTATTTATTTATGTTTTGGTTGAACATGACTGTGTGTTTTTCTGTTACATGTACGTCATAATGGACAAGTATATCGTCGTTAAAATAAATTTAAAAATATTTCCACTCGTGTCAACAGCATCTAGCTCTCAAGTAGGGATTTCATAGCGTCGACTTCTACAATTATCGAAACACCCTAATATACACGCAGTGCCTGCATGAAATGAATACTTTTATTAAGTACAATCATACGTTTATAGAGCGCTCTGTACTAACTGTGGAACAATAAAATAATTTACTTTTTGAGGACTATAAGATATAAACGAATAAGAAAACGTTAATTGAGTAAAAAAAGTGTTTTTTACTCAATTAACGTTTTCTTATTCTGTGGAAAAATTTTCAATAAAATAAGAAGATACGTCAAGAATGCCGAAGATAGTAGTTTTTAGTCCATTCATTACAATTCATTACAGCAAATGGAGATAATCAAGAAGTACTTCAGCAGAAAATAAGGTACACAGCATGCATATTTTAAAAAATTTCGGTCAACGAAAGTTTTATCCATATACATTTGGAATGTGAATATAATAAGTCGTAATAGGTTGTAATAATGTTGAAAAACAAAATAAAAGTTTCATACTTTTTTCAATTATTTAAAAATACACGTAAATCACCAAATTTCATACAATGTAATAAGCGGTAGTGTATGCCAAAAAATATTCTATTGAAAGAAACATTGAGTTTTTAATTCAGTCATCGGCGCCGAAGCATTTCATTATTTCTTTGTGGATATATCTTTGTTTGTTCTGAATGTTTAATAAATTTATTTTAATTATAACATGCGCCCAGAAATCCTTGGTACTAAATTCAGATGTTCGCCATTTGAACAACAAACACACAATATTTAATTCGATTTTATTGGTATGAACCTTTATTTATGGGCTACCGGCAATTACACACAAGAGATAAACCCCACAAATTATTTTAGGATTCCTATTAAAAAATGAATTTGTTAGGTTTCCTTATAAAATCGCAATATTGTAACAGGAATCCTAATAGATTGGCGCGCTTAAACGTCAAAGCCAACCTCACTGTGTTGAAACAAAACATGTATTATTATTTAAAGGTTTCCTAATAAAATGTTGCCATATTATAAGGAAACCTTACAAATTAATATTTTAATAGGAATCCTAAAATGATTTGTCAGGTTTATTTTTTGTGTGTAGCAATTCACTTTACACTGAACGGATCATTGTCTTCGATTTTTCTCAGTATGCGTCGAACCTTCAAAATCATGCTTTGGCAGACCGATTTGTCAATTTTTTTCAACCAAATGTTGCACGTTTCAAGTATTATGGACTTTCGTTTATAATTTGGTGTCTTTTCATGGTTTTATTATGAACATTAAGTTTTAAAATCGTTTGTACACACAGAAAATAAATAAATTGAAAACTATACGACATGTCCTATAGAATATGGATCTATGATACATGACACTATACGAACAAATTTGATACGAATTGCTGATCCAAATTCTATATGACATGTCGTATGGCTTTCAATTTATTTATTTTCTGTGCGTACCACACATAACTCAAGCAAAATAAGCAATGTATCAGTTATCAATTTGAAACCTATTTTTTCGGATTTCTGAGCCCAATCCACAGATAACATATTTTTCTTTTTAGAAAATTCGTCCAGGAAAATGTTTTCCCTTAGAAATTGATACACATTGAGAAAATATCGATTTTTCAACTGATTCGTTACTCTTTGTGCGTATCTTCGCACAGTCGAAAAATCGTATGGTCAATAGATGTAAAAGATGTAAAAACGTATGAGTGCACGTACCAGTCGGTTTTGCGTATAGCGTCGGCTGATATTTTCTTACTGTGTAAAAGTCGCTCAATTTGTACTGTTGATTCTATTCTAACAGGAGAAACCCATTCATATAAATGTACTCTTTTATCGAACATTTTATTTTCATTCCTTGTAATTAAATTGATATTTCAATTTTTACATAGATTTGGACAATTTCCATATACATTTCTGTATAGAAAAAATCGTATACGAAGAAATGAACGATGATAAATAATAATGTAATTTGAATAAACCATCTGATAATATTTAGAATTTTTTTGTTAAAAGCATAGTTTCAAAAAATAAAGATCTTTATTTTTTGCGAGCATACTACATCCCCGATGTTCATTCAGATGGCGAATTTAAAGTCCGAGTATTTTAAATTTTCAGCTGTCCATTCATCAAATTTCTTGATATATTCCTCACTCATTTCATCAACGAATCCACCAGCCATTCCTTTTCGAAAGAATCTGAAAAGAGCAAGAATCATACATAAATCCATCATTTAGTAAATATGAATTGCAATAACGATAACAAAGCGATTATAAAATGTTTATTCTACTCTTTTTTTAACACTTACTGAAATCCATTGGTTTGGTGTACAGTTTCTGCATATTCCCAATTGAGGTATATTCCATGAGCTCTTTCAATTCTTCTTCTCCATACGTACATTCCAGAAATTTGGAAATTTTTTTAACTGCACCAAATCGATCGGCCAATTGTTCCTCGTAGTTTAAAAACAGAAAATGATCCAAGTTACGAAATTACCAAATTGCAAGAACATAAGCATGAAATGGTCCATATAGGGCTCTATTCTCCAAGAAGATGTCGAATTGTTCTTCAATGGTCCGTGAATAGTATTTCAACGCATTTCTGATGTGGTGAAAACTCGAAACAGCTACGTCTTTTGGATTACGTGCAATGTAAATGATTTTCGGTCGTAGTAGAACGTTCTAAAAAGAGATCAGTGCCAAAAGAGATCGGTTCTTTGAAAAAATTTAAACCATTTTTCAACTGCCAAACAATATTCATTGTCCATGTTGTGCCCGATTTCGCATATCCAAGAATCCACACATCGTCACTTTTTACTTTGAATGTTCGATAGTCATTGGAAAAATTTTCAAAACTCTTTGGGACAAAACATGATTCGAACTTACAATCTTTTGAGAATGGCAAATGTAAATTTGCTAAGGGTTTTTTTTGTATTTGCCAATAAAAACGTATTTTTATCATCAAAAATTGATTTTTTGCCAATTGGCGTTTTCACTTGCTCAAAAATGAAGGGACTTGAGGTTTCTTTATCCATTTTCGTACAAATTTTCTAATACTGAAAAATACTGAACAAAAATTTTATAAAATAGACAATCAATTAATTTGGGTTTAAATACCTCACCTATCTTCTGTAGCACTTTTTTGTGTGGCAACCGATGGAAGCTTTTTTTATAATGACAATTTATATTTATCTATCTTTTCTTCTATTCTGAGATGAAAAAATGTGTTTCTTTGCTATTCAGTTTTAATTCTCTTCTTTTTAATATATTATTTAAGCTTATGACACTAAAGTTAAAGTTAAACTAAATAATACTCTAAACTGTTTGTTTGTTGCACTCAAGCAGGTATTAATACAAGACTATTATCTCTTTATCTTTATTGCAATTTGTTTATTTGCACATGTAGTAAATTATATTCAATTTTCGTGACACAGGATACACCGGACATCACACACAGCGACGAACATTAATATGCCCCAAAATCACCTCTAATCGTGTTTTCAACATGAAATATGTATAGCAAACATGTTTTGGGTAGATTTCATTTTTTTGGCCTAATACAATACCTTTCCCATCCTACGATTTTTTTAAATTTTACATCGACCGGAATTTTACTACCCATCCGCCAGATCTTGTCTCTGCAGTGTATTTTTTTCTTGTACAAGTTTTATTAATCAAACCAAATTGCAGCCATTCAGTAGGGAAAAAAATTCAAGCTGTCATGTGCTGTAATTCTGTGTCAAAAAAATAAAAATGCAAATATTTTTGTGTGGAGATAAGATAGAATATTTATTTATTAGATTCCGTCTGTTTTAAATCGCAAATAGTCATAAAAACAAATTAAAAACGGACACTGATGCTCATTATGCTGTATTGCCCAAGGCAATTGATCAGCTTTTTGACTGTTATCTCTAAAACGAATGCAATTCTTAATCATATTTATTCTTGAGCCTGTGTGAATACACCTTCTATATTTACATGAAACAATTCCTATATGAGGCTCTTCATGCTAGTCATTTAAAATGAATTTCGAGTATATTAATGTTTTCACTTTGTTAAAAATGAGTCAGTGAACGAAATAGAATTTTCTTCGAAAGAAAAAAAATTATCCATATGAAATAATTTATCATAATACCGAATTTATGCAAATTATATTTAGAAAACAAAGTCCAACTTCATTGGACCATCTTTAAAAAAGTTTCCTGGTATTAAAAAAAATGAAATAATAAGATTTGGCGACTTTCATGACTTTGATCTAGAGTTTTTTTCTCTATTAGTTAGTATTAATAAGGGGAAGGTTAAAACAAAAATTCTATATCTAATCTTGAATAAAAACAACAATTATTCGTCTAATGTTCATGAAGTACATGTCGATGTGTTTACGTGTTCCGGATAGATTGTGTGGTGATCAGCTCGAGCACGCTGTGACACTCTCTCAATCGTTAAAATTCTTCGAACCTGTAAATCTAGTTTTATGCAAATTGAAAATTTATTTACAATATAAATGTGTGTTATTTGGGTATGTTTTTTTTTTGTTTTCTGTGGGAAAAACGAGAAAAAATAATATTTTTCGTTTTTACTACTAAAAGGAGGAAATGGGTTGGATAGTTCACAAAATATATATATATAGATATATATATGAAAACAATAACAACAAAAAGAAAGAATAAATCAAAATCAACATAGGGAATTCACTTATATCAAATAAATCACTTTTATGAATCGAAATTCTCCGTTTTCACGTTGTTGTATTATTATTTTTTCTATTTGGCTTGTAATTAGAATTGTTCGTGTTGGTATTGTTGAATTGAATTTGTTATTTGTTGTGAATGTGTGTCCATTTTGTGATTTCTCTCTCTCTCTCTCTCTCTCTCTTTCTCTCTCAAAAATCGTTGATCACAAACACTTTTCCGTTGAATAAAGTTCATTTTTTTATATGATCACAATCGATGGTATTATTCCAGAGTTTTGTTTGTTGTATTTTTAGCACAATATTTTATAATTCCAACAATTTTTAACGGCATTTTGATTAACAACTGTTGATTGGTTTGATTTTATATTAATTTTTATAATTTGAATGGATTTGATAATTATTTGCGCTGAATGTCGTACATTATTTTATTTTTTTTAGTTGACGGAGTGCGAGATTTTCAATGTGCGAGATAAAATATACGTAGTATTTATCATTTGCAGTCAGAGATTGTGTAAATCACTACATCCTATCAGTACTGCAGTTCTGTCAAATAGAAGCGTCTGAAGAAGTGTTTGCCCAGCAACCTTGCATAAATCAGTGCTTCTTCGAATTACTTCGTGCTTGCTTGGTCGTTTCATCAAGAGTGAACAAGTGCCAAATCAGTGCTATAGGTCAACAGAAAAACAATGGTTCACAATACGATGATATGATGAAATAAATGTTATATTGTATAAATCTGCTCTTGTGTGTGATACTGTAATTCTCATCTCTCATTCCCAGTCGATATCGATACGATATAACTTACTACTTTCCGTATGGAATTCTTTTCTTTTCTCCCACAAACATTTAAGCGATTTCTTTACAATTTTAAATCAACGCGAACACATTTCGAATAAAACTGAATAAATACACTGAACAAAAAATATACATCATACAAAAAAATTGGTGTTTGACTCAAGTCTTTTCACGATTTATAAAGCGCTGTTGTGTCGATGATATACAATTATTTTTTTTAATGAAATAATCAATGTCCGATAAAACGATTTTTTTAAAAAAAATATTTCAGTTAAAAAAACGGAGATCTCTCAAGCAAGACGATGAATGAAGAATGTCTTTTTTTTGCGAAAGAAAAATAATTTCGGCTCACAAAAACACAATGTAGAAGAGTTCATTAAATGGAAAAATCAATACTTAATAACCGCCATGAAAATTAGTTGTCGAACTTAAAATTCTGAACACTAAATGTCTGTCGATGGAATTTTCTGTTCTCCAATTAAGAGTATTACAATGATTTATCATTCCTACAGGTTCAACTTAAACGACATCACTAAGGAGCCATTTCGATGGCATTCAAAGCCGATATTTTAACCGAATAAAAAATGAATTTTTATGAATGTGATAGATATTCGAAGATATTTGGATACTGTTCGTTGGCAAGCATATTTAAACAATTAATGGGATAGCTACTGAGGCACTTGTTTTACAGTCAATCGTTGTGTTGTCGGTAATTGCCACTTGGAACGGCGTCATCCATTCAACACATTTTTCGGACGTTTCAAACGCCAACGCTTTTGCGACTAATTCGACCGGATAGTTTGGGCGATAGCTATTGAATTTCGAAAGAAGAACATTTATTGGATTAGAAATAATGACAAGAGATGAAATATATGTGAAAAAAAAAATGTAAATGACTTAGAAAGTCACCACCTGCTCTGACAGGATTAGCGCAAGCGGTGAAATTCATTAAGTTATTCTCATTCTAAAGTTGTATTGAATGTTACATACGCTTTAATAATATTCTTAAGGGCGAATTTGCGTTCTCTGTCAATAAACCAATTTATCAAATGCAGTGCACTTTTTGGTGCCGATTTGTATAAATTGAAAAATTTCACATAATTCCCTAATGCCCACGCTGAACGCAATTGTAATGCATGTGCGATACACTCATCGTCCTTTTCACTATTCGTCAAGGATTTAAGCGTTGTCGTTAAATCTGTGTAAAAGAGAAAAAAAGAGCTCGTCTTAAAAGAAATTCCACTTTCTTTTTGTTTAAGTCATTTTTTTTTTCAAATCATTTGGTTTTAAAAGAAAAAAACTGTTCATGATGCCACTTACCCAGAGTATTTTTCGTGAAAATATAGTACAAAATACGATACGCTGTGAATTCAAGACGATTTTTTCCGCCAAGATCTGCGTACAACATTTTTAATTGTGTTTGACACTGATTGAATTCTTCATGGTCACCTTTTTCCATGGCAATGCGTGCATGTGTTTCATACACTTGAATTGTGAACTCATTTCGAATGCCTTGTACCTATTGACAAAAAATGATCGCATTAATAATCGATATCGAAAATAAGTGAATGTCGCATAGAAATGTTACTTACAGTTAGATCTTGTCGGATGGATTTAAGTTGATCGCATGCATAGTAATAATCATGTTTTTCGATCCATTTCGATTTGGCGTTGGCCAATGAAAAAACAAGCACTTCTTCCGGTCGAACTTCGTGCGCTTCTGGTGCTTTTGTGAGTCGTAAAAATGATTTCTCAATGTCGCGACACGTGCCAACAATATGAAAATCAATCAAATCGAAATTATTATCCGCATTATCATCAATATACAATCGACTCTGAATGGGCATGTGTTTCTTTTTCTTATTGCCAATCATCGATGCATGCGACGATGTTGGTGCTTTCTTCTCTGTAAATCGTGCGGCACGCTGTTGCAATCGTTCAGCATCACTAACAATATCACCCCCAATTCCATACTTTTTGTTATTATCTTTTTTATTTTTATTCTTTTTATTATTTTTTGATGCATTTTGTTGTGAATTGCCAGCGATTGTTCCAAGGCGTAAGCCCAATTTTTTGTTACTCGGTTTCGTAAAACTCTTATAATCATCCGAGCTGGACGATGAACTTGAGGTGCGACGATTTTTGCGTTGAGGACTCCGTGAAGCATCGCGACTGTCACTACTGCTGCTGCTGCTTCGGCTGTTTCTCGACGAATTACGACGCTTACGATTCGATGATGTGTACGGTGAACGTGAACGTGAATGACTCGTGCGTTTATTACCACGATTACCTAATCTTTGACCTAAACTCTGTGAAATTCCCTTTTTAGGTGAAATCGCTGACGTTGATTTATTCTGGAAAGTGGACAATTGACCGGGAACACCCTGATTTGGTTGCTTTGGAATCATCACATTATTTCGTTCACTGTGTACACTTGGCGTTGGTTCACTGTCCCAATCTTTGGTCCATAATTCACCGCGATTTGCTGCTTGCGTAATGCGACCTTTTAGACAAATTTGAATTTGATCTTTATCGAAGTCGGTGCGACACTTTGCATAGCAACGTTCAACATATCGATTTAAACTTTCGGGCCATGCATCAGTCGGATTATTGTATGGATTTGGTTTTTTAAGAATTGGACTGGATGTTGATGGTATTGAAGCGTTTTGTATTGGAGTGGTTGGAGTTGTGGGCATGGAAAGTGATGGTTTTTGAGAGAAAGGATTTAGCAAAGCCGGTGGCGGCTTTGACAAATCGGGAGTTATCTGAGGGGAAAGGGTTAAATTTGGTGGAGGAATGCTGGTATCGAGAAAATTTTGACTGTTCATCATTGACCCATTTTGCGATAGATTATGTGACAAATTTTGTTGATGCTGCTGCTGTTGTTGCTGTTGTTGCTGTTGTTGTGGTTGATTTTGTTTATTACGATTCTTTTTCTTTTGTTTGTTCTTATTCTTTTTGTTTGTATTTCCATTGTTCCCTTCTGGTTGCTGCTGCTGCTGCTGTTGTTGTTGTTGTTGTTGCTGTTGCTGTTGCTGATAGTTGAGTGCGCCGATGCCATTGGTCAATGGACTACTATTTTGTAATCGCTTATTTTGATTTAAATTAAATCGAATTCCACCGAATTGTTTCTGATTATTCTGTGATTGATTACCGTGCCAACTTGGTGGTGGCGGTGCTTCAATGGTCGATAGAGATGGTGGTGGAGGCGGTGGTGGAATTAGACAAGAATTACCAAATCCGGGTGGCGCATTATTCTGTTTGGCCAATTGCTCTAAAGCATACTTCTGAACGTGATTTTGATATGCATTAAATTGTTGATCTTGTTGCTTTTTGACTAATGACGCTGCCAAATTGTAAATCTGATCGTAGCTGTATGGTGCAGCCCATGGATTCGATGCCGATCCATTATTCGTACCAACGCAATCATTCATATTCTCTCCCATTACGTTGAACTCGTGTGTGTGTTTGTGTATTTTCCTTTTTTTTTGTCGATGACTTACCTTTGTCCTACTTTTTTTCTTTCAATTCACTTGAATTCAACAATTAACTCTGAATTTTGAAAATTATCTGAAAATAAATGAAAAAAAAACTTAGTCTGTGTCTTTGGAAAGAAAAATATTCGTTCAAAGTCTTAATTGACTACTTTGGTTTTTGGGCCTCAATGAATTTCGATTGAAGAAAAAAAAAGAAAATGGCGACGCATTTAGCACACTCATCAAGGTTGCCCCAAATAAGCTTTTATTACGTTTTATCTCGTCAATACTTACAGCTCAATATAAAAAATGAAATTTAATTCTTTATTACAATTCACCTGTTCACTTCAACTTTGGATATTTAGATATAAAAAAAAATGAATTAATACAATTTTTAAAATTTATTTCACTGCTTTGATTGAAGATATATTCCATTGCTACAAGTTAAGAAATGAGTTCATCATATTTTTTTCTTTGTGGTGTATATTAATGCGTTTCGTTTTTACAGTCGTTACGTTGGTCACAGTGCAAGCAGCGACATTTATTTATTTTTCGGTTGGTACTGCAGTTTCGCGCGCTATTCAATTTAAATGGGAAAATTGAAGACTTTCACATTTTTGGGAATTGAGATTTTTTTTTTGTTGAGGATTCTATGTATTTTTTAATTTTTTTATTTCACAAAGTCACAATATAAATTATAATATCAAAAAATAGTGGTGAATAGTGGAGTCGGTAGAAGAGATGTGTTTTGACAAACCGCATTTCAAATTTGTCAAATATTGAAAGCCAGTATGAAATCATGTACAATTGTCATGACAATTGAACATTGTGCAACATGTAAAGATCCCATGATAAGACATTCCCCATAATAATAGAAATTTAGGAAAATGATGAAAAAAATCATAAAAACATATATTTTTGTAATAAAAGTCTCAATTTTATTGAAATTATTTTCAAAATGTAATAGTTTATTTCATCCATTTCGTTTAAATTAAACATTTAAAAAATCACGATAAACAACGATCTTTTTCATTCGGTTTTTTCATATTTAAAAAAAAAAATCCAACAAAATCAACTCAAATTCTCACCACTCACTTACTTTTTAGATGAAATTTGTTTTGAGTTTCCTTTTGTCCAGCGAATAAATTAGCTTGCGAGACTTACATTGCTATGATATGGTGTATGGTAAATGGAATTTGTACATAATAATATTATATAAAGTATCGAATATATTCATCATTTGTTAAAAACTACAAATTGCATCCAAGTCGTTCGATTTCATCGATGAAATGAAGCATATCGTCACGATTCAGCGCTGAATTTTGCAGAACCAAACGGAAAAAATTCGGTTTCAATCGTAATGGTTGATACGTAATCATCATGTTGCCCTCTTTCATCATGCGCTCTTTAATTTTTGGCGCTACTTTGTGAATTTTCTCCTTGAATTCATCGCTGTTGATCGGCACATTTTGCATGCTTGGCGGAATATACCAGAAGCAAATATTTGTACATTCTGGCTTGTCGACAACCATTACAAAATCCGAACGTGCTTTAATTTGTTCTGTAAAATACTCGGCATTCTCGAAATTCTTATTGACATGCGCTGCAAGACCATTTGTGCCTTTGGCCCTCCACATAAACCAAAATTTCAATACGTCAGCCCGTCGTCCGCATTGAATGTGCTTATCGCCTGTATCAAATTGAGTGTCATAGAATTTATCCTTTTGAAATAGATACGTTGCATTCGCAGAATGCGCTTGTTGCAATATCCCTTCGTGTCGAGTTAAAAATGTTGAACATTGTTGAGGCACCGACAACAACTTGTGTGGGTTCCAGGTTACTGAGTCGGCCCTGAAGAAAAAGAAAAAAAAAATCATTAAAATAAAAATAAAATTACAACGGGTTCTGATTCGAATAGAATTTATAACGACCACCGATGTAATTGAATAAATCGTAGTCTTTCACCGGAAGATATGTCATGCGTCGGTAGAGAACAAGCTCACTGTTAAACATGTGTTCACCTTCCTATTTAAGCGTATACATTTTTAACTGTTCCTATTCAAGTCTTTTGTTTTACATACTATTGCACGTACAGAGTGTACACCTTGGCCTTCGATAACACTCTCAATAGTCACAAGTGCGTTACATGCATACGTCATTCACAAGTCGCAAAAAATGTCGTTTTCTCTTCATCTGTATTCAATGCGATGGACAAATCATATTCATAAAAATGAAACTAACCGTTCTATTCCTTTGACGAGATGACGATATTTTCGTGACATCATTACACCACCACCCCATGCAGCCTAAAAGTCGAAGCACATAGTAAGTATTAAAGACCTTGGTCCAGATCGAATAGAAAGATGAGGACTAAAAAACAATCGAATACTCACATCAATATGCAGCCAAATATTATACTTTTTACAGATATCTGCAATTTGATCGATGGGATCGAATGCCCCCAAAACTGTTGTTCCGGCTGTGGCCACCACTAAAAATGGTATTGCACCTTCACTCTTGGCGCGTATCACTTCACTTTCCAAATGCTCTACAATCATTTTACCACGACTGCATGTATTCACTTTGTACACGTTATCCGAACCTAGTCCCATGAAACTCGCCAATTTTCCAGATGAATAATGAGCATCTTCGGATGTGAACATTACCAATCGAGGTATAGCCTGTAATCCTTTAGTCTAAAAAAACAAACCAAAATTACATGTTTTTTCATCGAAAATATTTCGTGGCACATTTTTTTCTCTCTCTTTCTAATGTCGAAACCATTTCTGGAAAATCCTTTCTTTTTTCGATCGAATGTTTTGAAAAAAGACGTGAAAACGTTCCCTCATTAAAAAGTATTTTCGCAAAATGTTCCGGCATTCATTCTTACTTTGACATCTGGTGCAAATTTATAACGGGCACAACTTATTCCATAGCCATTGCTAATTGAACCGCCAGGTGAAAAAAGTCCATCACCATTGCCATTTTCCCAGCCAACTAACGATCTCATTTCACGTAAAACAATTTCTTCCATTAAAATAAACACCGGCGACACTTCGTACGTATAAACACTTGGATTAAGTGCATCAGTCAGCCATTGTCCGGCCAATGCATACGGATCCACGCATGAAAACAGCTGATTCACAAAATACGGATGGCCCGTTTTCACTGAATATCGAATGGTTTTCCGTACCAATTCCATCAATTTTTCATCCGAATCACTTTCCGCTTTCAATGACATATCGAATAATTTTGCCAATTCATTTGGTTGATGCCATTCCAAAACCTTATTCTCACGTCGAGTATCCTCAAAAACGGCAGACGATAAAATTTCATCGACACAATCGCGCAAGAATCGTTCATGCATTGACCGATTTGGTAACGATTCATAACGTTCACCTCTTTCATTCCTATATAATAGCGGGGGTGTTAAGATTCGATTTTTATTCACTTGATCCATTGACGATGTGATTATATCATCAACCGATAAATTATCGGTTGAATTTTCAGAGGTTTTTATATTTAAGGACATTGTCTCTGTCTTTTTTTATTGTTCTTCTTTATTTCAAAATGTAAAAAATGACACAAATAAAAATTATTAGCTTTTCATTTAATTAAATGCCACTTCAAGTGTTGTGTGTGCACCGTACAGAGCAAGCGAGGAAATTGAATTTCCTCGAAAATCTCTCGATACTCGAATATATATTACAAAATCACTATCGTTTTATTTAAGTCGATGTGCGGTTAGCTTTGCCAAGCAATATGCCACTGATCCGACCAAATCAAACGAACAACTGGCGGTTAAACAAAATTGTTTCGAGTTTTTAAATACTCGCTGGTTTACATGTGTACTCAAAATTTTAAAATAAAAACTGTTAACTGCCGCTGCTGCTACTACTACAACATTACTTTTTAATTTCGGTTTAATACAAAACAGTCAAGGCTTTTTTTCTGAGAGAGCGCAAAACATAAAACTGATCGTTTCATACAAATTGTACTTATGATTGATATGTTTGTATATGAGCGTGAGCGCAAGCGCACCTCTATACAGAATACACTATGATCTATACAGAAAAATGAGGTGCTGCTTCGTTTTTGTGATTGTCCATTATAAAACTGCGAATTATATTCACATGCAAACATTGCACTCATTTTTGATATGTTACCAACTGAAATATGAATGAATGAATGAAAGGCAAGAATTTACATGATGGAATCACAACATATACCTATATCAATACAATAATAATAAACAATAAAAATTCACGCAATGCTTATGTGTACACGGTTACGGTGTACGGGTATACGCGTGTGGCAAGTGCATGTTAAAATCCAATTCACAATTGATATTCGCTTGCTATATGCTTTAACGATTCAATGGTATGGCTTTTTTGTTCAGGCTCAATTTACTAGCCACATAAAATTAGCTAATTACAAACAGAAACGAAGCCACTTCAACAGAATTTAGCAGAGCGGAGATTGTTTTCAATTACAATCAACTCATATTGGAGACCTTGTGAAATGAGTTTATTACTAATATAGTATTTAACAATTTGCTTTGTTGTGATCGACCACCAACTACGTGTCTTACACCTTTTCATCTCGCATTCATTCGAATTCACAAATGGCTTCATCCTCGTCATCGTCATCATCATCATTTGCCGACAACAAAACGTGCATTCAGTATTTAATGAATTAGACTAATTTTACAAACCGGAATCGGAAGCATTCTATATTCTGCTAATGGAAAAAAAATTTGACAGAAAAAAAATAATCGTATTAAAATAAAAGACATCAAACAACAAAGAAACAAGGAAGAACATATTTCCATTTATTTTAATTGATTAAATAATTCAATCTGATTGAAATAGTGTACAATATGCAAGAGATTGAAATTAAACGATAATAACGAGCTCAAATGGGCATAGACATTCGTGTGTCTGACAACTTGCATTTTTTTATTTCGTTCACTCGATGCCATTCATAAAATGTGGTTGTGTGCCATTTCTTTTATATTTTCTTATCGTTCTTTTGTTTCGTGTTGCAAACTGATTTAATGTTTCATTTTCTGTTTTGTATGTATGTAAGTGAGACAAACGTTTGCCAAAAAGAAAAAAAATCAGAGTCAAGTTCATGGGCGCAACAACAACAAAAAATCAGCTGCTGGTGGAGCCATTGTAAAGAATGTACATGAATTGGCACACCGAAATACCGCACAATTTTTATATATCACAGCTACGGCAATTTTGAATGTCTTGATCGAGACACCGAAAAAAAATCACACAAAATAAATCAATGATTTTTAATTGGAAGCAAAAACATTGGCGTAATTATTCAATTTTCATTGTACTTAGCTCTTGCACCCAATTAAAATTGACATGTGCATTTACTTTAATTACGATTTATTTAATTTTTCGTTTCTTTTTTTTTGTATGGGAGCGTGTACAACGATTTATCGTCTGTCTTTTTCGTTCACCTTCCCCATTGATTTCGATAAATGTATTCGCCAAAATTTGCTTTCAATTCATCAAACAAAGTAGCGTTTGATGACGAATTGATTTGGCATCGTATCAAATAATTTTGGGAATTAACAATTTTATTTGTTAGTTATGCATTGAATGTGCACTTTGCCGGCTGTACAATTGCACATATCATCAAAGGGAAATTCTTTAACAAGGGTGACGAAAGTCTCAATTGCGATCAACATTATAGCATCAAACAAAGTAAGAAAAGGAGCATATTTTATTACATTTATATCAAGTTAGGTCTGTATTAACATTGAGTTTCTTTTGAATCATGTGGTTGAATGTTCACCTTTTCATTTGTATGGAAATTGTTAAAATGATGAAAGTGCATTTGTGAATTTCATTTTGAGAAAAATCAACGCCGACATAAAAAGAGACACGCGATTTTGGCCGTCACTCAAATAATTTATTCTTTGAATTAGGCTTTGAAATATTAAATTTTGATAAATCGAAAAAAAATCATCTATTATTAAGATTGGCCAAATTCAACTGCGCTCGCTTTTTTCAACGCTCAATTGCATAATCTAATTTTGGATTTAAAAAAATCTAAATCTCTCGCCATATACAGCATTGATTCGGAGATTTTTTCTCCAAAATCTGGGACAACCAGCAATGAATTTGCACTTGAAAATCAAAAATGAAGTTTACTATTAACGATGTTGAAGTATGAAAGATTTCTGTGCTGAATCTATAATTCCAAATGAAATTAGGTTCTCTTTATTTTGTATGCGTGATTTAATGCTTAAATCTTTTAGATATATGATGAATGACTTTTTTGAAAATGATGTTCTTTCTCGTATTCAGGCGCGGCTTTTGGAAAATTATATTTGCGGTCACTCACTACTTTCCCGGTATCTCTGCTGTGTTGTCGTAATTTTTCTCTGCACGACATTTTTTAATAAATTTCCACCGGCAAATACCTTATTTTCAAAATGTTGTATAGTTCATTTTTAGCACCTTGAAATTTCTACAAAAAAATTCTACAAAGTTTTCGCATATATTTTGTTTTGAACTTTATTTTATTTTACGATTCATACAAATTCTGTTTTTTTTTTTTTTTTGTGATTTCGATTGTTTAAACTATAATTTCATTTGACAAAAAAATGCCTATCTCAATGATTTAATATGCGGAGAGTACTTTATTTCTACAATAACAGCAAAATGTTGAAATTATTTATAATGTAAATGTGTAACTCGAAACACGAAACTTAATTGAAGAAATTGTGCCAATATCGAAATATCACTGAAATGAATCTAATCTAATGCCATATGTTTCTAACACAAGATCATTTTTGTCTTTTCTGTTTTCTCCAAGCAAGTGTTTCGAAGAATTTTCCTGAATTTCAACAAACATTTGCCAATTTTTTTTTTCTTATTTTCGAACATTTAGTTTTTGTGTGTGTGTTTTTTTCAACAATTCAGATAAATGAAACGTGCATTTTGGGAACATTAGAATATCCCATGTCTGCAACGTGTTTGATTACAATTTGGTCAATTATATTATCAAAAACCAATAAAATAAAAATGCGTTCAAATGATAAAATAGAAGAAATAGTGATGAATTCGGTTCACAAGATGAAATTTGTCTCAAACAAATAGATGCGACAATTTCTCAAGTTTACCACATATGAGTTTCACGTATTTCACTAATTATATGATTAGCTCGGGTCAATGCCTGCAATTTAAAAAGAAAAATCAATGAAATGTTCAATGAACCAAATTAAAATTGGTCTTACCTTGAGCATATCAGCAGCTTCCTTTCGTCGAACGGCAATATGGTCCGATTCGTTCAAGAAATCTTCGGCATTTTCTGATTTATATAAATGCGTAACTAATTCCGATTGTAGATTATCTTTTACATAGTTAACCAAAAAATGCATAATTGCTTTTGGTACAGAATCTTGAATTGATTTGCGAACAATATAGAAGTAGGATTTGATGAGTCGTTCTGCAAAACACAAAGAATTTTTTTTTTGTTTATTAAATTAAATTGTTCATAAAAATTATATTATTGAATGATTTGCATACCAATGACATCGCAATCTTTTTGCTCTTTTTCAGTTAGTTTGCGAGCGGTTGGATTGAGCGGAACGTCGGGCAACAAATTGACTGGTTTCAATGGGCTTAAAACGCCGTGAGTTGGTGTGTTTGTCGATGAGCTCTCTGTGCTGTCAGTGGGTGGTCTGCTTGATGGGTATGCTGGCGTAGCTGGTGGTAGAATATTGGCCAACCATCCTGATGCTTTTTGATCATCTTGACTGTTATGATCATTAATTTTATGATTATTTTGTGATTCGGTCATTGCATCAACGTGATTGTTATACACAGCCGGTGAATGGTTACGATTTTGTCGTCTTTTTTCAATACCACCATCGGGACGTTGATTCCATGGATTCTCTTGGTGTTCGGTTTTCAAGAGACTGGGCACCAGTGCTGCATCTTTATGAAAATCCGGATGCTTTGTATTGATATAAGCTAATTCAATGGCCACAATATTTTCAACCATTGAATTTGTATTTGGTAAACGACGACGCAACAATTGAGTCACAACATCCACAATTTTCTCATGTAGCTTTGGGAATCGTAGCATTTCTTGTTGCACCTCATTGCCACAGTGTTGAATAATTCGCTGCATTTCCTCGTGGATCAATTCAACGCAACGCAAAGATGGCTCTTCCAAACGACGAATTTGACGTTTCACCAACAATTCGAATGATACCTGCAAATGAACGGCGAATGTATTAAATACATAAACATATTCAGACTAACTACTGACATGTAAATTTTCAATACCAACCTCTGGCACAAAAAGCGCCGGGCGTGGACCAGTTGCATTTCGGATTGCCGTCAGGATATCCATTTTTGTCAATCCTGATTTCGAATTAAGTTTTTGTTAAAAAAAGATTCATTAAGTTTTCTTTATTATACTTTTGGCTATTTGACTTACCGGTCAATGGATGAATGCCATCAAGTGTTCTGCCAAATGTCTCATGAAAAATATAACACATTCTTGCACCGCCACAGAGTTCGGTTGTTTCGATATTTCTGGCCGTTCCTTCGATCGTCGAACAATATGCACTCGCAAACTTTGTTATGATTTGTAACAAAGTTTGCGATTTATCAGTAACATCCTCTCCGTATGAATTTAATAACGATTGAAATTGTGTGATCATGACATTGACACGAGTCTGTAAATGATATTTAATCGTTTATATGTTATTTTCACCTATTTCTTTTATTCTTGACTTTTTACCTTAAGATCTGGTAAACAATCTCGAATATGATGCATAAGAAGTCGATTAAGTGTTTTGGCTAAATAGGGTGTGCCATTTCTCGTGGCTAATGTTGGGTACTTCCGTTGTAAATAAGCTGCTTCATCCTTTAATTGATCGTTAATACTTTTTCTGTCGATAATATCTTGTTGTGAACGATTGACAACGCCTGAAAATTGTCACAAAAAAATCATAAAAAATCCTGCCGGTATCAAATACAATGTTTATACATACCGATGATTCCGAGTTTAACGGGGATAACGCGTCCACAGAGTATATCAATGGCATCAGTGCCAGCATCCATTAAATCTAATTTAGTGACAACGGCCAGTGTGCGTCTACCGTCCGGATCGACTTCTTTAGCCATTTTCAAACTTTCACTGAAGAATATTTGCCATTTAGATCCAGTTCGATCAATTAAAAATAAAAGTAGTTCGAATGAAAAATCGATCGTTACCTGGTTGCCAAATCGGTGTTTGCTGCGGTAACTGCCAAAATGATCGAATTTGGATTTTCGATGTGTTTTATAATTAATTCTTTGATTTGTGTTTCAATATCTTCTGGTTGATCGCCAACGGGCACTTTTGTCAATCCGGGTAAATCGACCAACGTTAAATTCACAACTCGTGTTGAGTAAATTTTCAAGTTGATCGGTTCAGGGCAGATTCCTTTGTTCGTGCCAGCCATACGATCGGTTTCATTTTCGATTTCTTTGCGTATTTCATCGAAATCGGCGTAAACCTTGTTCTTTGTGTGCAAAAATTTACCCCATTCGTCAAGCTTAACTGTGCCTGCATTTGAAGAGCCAATAAAATTAGTGAAACTTTGAAATAATGTCGACTCTGAATGAAAATAAACAGAGATGGTATTCGAAATGGTGTGTTAACTTAGGCGGGATTCATTCATGCTATAAATTGAAGAACAAACCTTGTTCAGCTGATCGATGGTCTTTATCATCCAATGGGCAATAGATTAATTGCAAAACAAGTGGTCGTCGTGTTACAATTCCAGTTCCACGCGGTAAAAATGAACGTCCCACCAAACTTTCGATGACCGAACTTTTTCCCGAACTCTATAAACGAAAACAACATTTTTTTGACGTATGAATCACATGTGATTAATATCAGCATCAATGAAAAAAACCAATTTTTCTGGCGAAAAAAAACGGCGATAAAATTATTTCATTGAAATGTCAATTGTTGATCATTTCAAGAATGTTGTGAATAATGTGATGGAATTTTTAGGATTTGAGTGATGCAATGACACATTTATGTCATATAATACGCCAAAATGCATATTACATGGAACAGCAGAAGGAAATAACATTAAACAATTACGTAATTTTGACTTAAACATTGTGGAATGTTTTTCTTTTTTCACACCAAAAATAAAAATGATTCAAATCAAATATTTATTTCGAATCTCAATCGATTTTCCATTGACATATCGATTATAATTGTGATGATTTTCAATGTGATGTGAAATGCACAAACAGAAGGGGGCCATTGATTTATCGTACAAACCTGACTTCCAAGCACGACAATTTGTGGTAGCTGAATTGAATCCGAACCAACCGTATTAAATACATCTTGCAATTTATTAACAACTGGAATTAAAGCTTCCATTTTTTTATTTTATTCAATAAACTGCCGGTTCACTAGGTTTGATTTTATTTTTAAAGCACAAATGACGAAATCGAAATGCAGTTTAAAATAGAAAAACCACTAAAACAATTAGACAAGCAATGTTCTCTGTGTGGTGAGAAAATTTTCTCTTTACACGCACACTGAACCAAACGAACAAGGAAAAAAATATTCGCGCACAGCGCAAATGTCATTCAACATACATGCCCACTGCAATGTCTAACAGCGATTCAACACTTTCAGGTTGGTCATCGTGACAAGCACATTTGACAAGTTGAATTCAAACCGACCGAAGTATGTTGTATGATTTTTTTTATTGGTACTTTTGCCGGTTCACACAATTTGTTTCAATAAATAAAAAAAAAATCTAGCAAAAAAACACAAACAAAGCATAATTTTTTTTTGTTTTTAATCTCTAGAGAGAAAAAAAATGGAACAATTTAAATCGTTGACATTGAATTTTCGCTAATCTTCTCTTCACACATTGATTCGTCTTTGTTTTCATTTTCGCTGGACGTATCGTCGTCGTCTTTATTCCCTTGGCTGCCTGTTTCATCCTTTTTTCGCCTTTTTTTGCCTTCCGGGTTGAATTTTCGTTGTGGTAAAACTTCCAGTAGCGTTTTTTTCCACGGTTTTCCCTCCGAAACCCTCAAAAGAATTTCAAATACTGAAAAGCAAGAGTTTTTAGGTTAGAAAAATGTCCAAAAATGCCCAAAATAATAAAAAAATCAATTTTTTTGAATTCACCATGTACAATTGTGAGAACACTTCTAGTTTTCATTTCAATGTGTTCGCTAAGTGGTAATCGGGCGGTTTTAAAACCTTTCTCTTCGGCTCGCTGCAGTGATTCGCCTTTGCAATGTCCATGATCAACCAATCCACCAATAATGTACACTGCCTTCGGATCCAATTCATCTAGTACATGATCCGAATCGCTGGTTAAATACACAATTGAACTATGATCAAATAGATCAAAATATGGTTTTTCATGTATTTTCACATCCCAATTCGCGTATCCATCATTTCGACTCAATGAATTTTTAATGCGACTATTTTCCCGAATACTTGTGAAATGCAATTGAATTGGCATTTTTGATTTTCGATTTTCTGTGTACACGCGCAACATTTGCTTCGAACATTTGCCTATATCTTTGTCTAACATCAATTGATCGTAATCAAAATCAATGGCTACAGTCACTAAATTTGGGCTCTCATCCATTTTATTTGCTTTCAATTTTTTTCGTTTGGCACTTGGACCGATGATGCCCAATTTCACCTCGGTGGCTCGCCGTTCTTTTTGTTTTTCCCGTTGTTTTTGTCGCTTAATCTTTTTCATCTCTTGCCATTTAGCCATTTTCAATATTTTCTTCTGTTTTCGCTTCGATAAAATTTCACTACGCTCTGACAGGTCCTGAGTGGTTGGCACATTTGCTTCGGATGGAATTTCGCTTGATTTTAAAGTGGTGTCAGTGACGACAGTGCATTCGGCCACAATTTGCGATGAATCATTTTGAATTTCACTCATCTTTGATGTTGTTTGAACAAAACAACTTGTGGATTTTAGTTTTGTGCTGAAAACAAACGTAATTTACGGTAACTTTAATGTGATTTGTTTTGACGTTTCAGCATGTGCTACGAGAAATGTCAAAATTTTATGTCAACGTGGTTTTGTCAATGTATTTTACAAGCTATGATACGTTAGAAAATATGAAATCTTTCCTCAATAAATTTTATTTCTCTTTCATTGCAATGAATAATAAAAATGTTTTTAAAAAATGATAAATGGATTAAAAACTAGAAAAAAAAAATATTATGAAATTTCAACCACTCGAGTGAAATTAGTCCATTTGAATCGATATTCCCTGATATACATCGCTCCATTTATTTTTAGTATTCTTGAGAGCTACTACCATCGTCTCCGGTATAATTGGCATCTCTGTTATCTTTTTCAGCATCGTCGACTGCCTTAACTTTTGCAATCTATTCGAAAAAAAAAATATCGTGAGAAACATGGAAGAATATACGGAGGAATGATGTACCTACATAAGCAACGGCTTCATTTTTCGGTATCGATTCCAAATAGTTCTTCAGTCGTGCCACATAACTTTCGGTGATTTCATTATATTCAGCTTTGATTTGTTTGCGTTCTTTCTTCGGCAATTTATCGTATGCCTTTTGCGCTTTACGTGCTTTGCCTATATTGTATTTTTTGGCAAAATAGGTGATTATGTCCGATGGTGGCTTTTCACCGGGCGGTTCCACTATTGATTTCCTCTCCTTTTTCGACTTTTTCTTTGAACTTGAGCTAATTGTACTGGAAGCAGCATCACTTCCACTTGGTTCATTGTATTCACTTGACTCTGAAGTGGCTTTTTTCTTTTTCTTTTTTTCTTCCTTGACGGGCGATTCCTTGACGGGCGACTCCTTGACGGGCGACTCCTTGACGGGCGACTCCTTGACGGGCGATTGACCCAATTTAATTTCCTTCACAGGTGACGGAGTCACTATCGATTTCTTAACCGACGATGGTTTTGGTGAAGAACGTTTAAAGTTTAACTTTATTTGAATATGTTTAGGTTTGGTCTCTTCGGAGTCGGAGTGATTAGCATTCGATGTCTTTTGTCGTTTTACTTTTGGTTGAACGGTGGCCTCTTCATCATCTAAATCATCATCGTCTTCGGGTGGTCGTTCAACGAATGTCGATTTCCTTCGTTTCACCTTTTGTGGCGTTACACCGTGGCGCACATTGAACGCTTCTTGTTCTTTGGCTGCTTTTTCTTTCAACTGTATTCGATAGAAAATACTTAAATTCCAATTACGCAAGGAAGATGAAATGGAAAACTTACCAAAATAGCAGCATTGGTGTATATTTTCTTCTTTTTCGGATCGAGCGATTTCCATTGAAGAGCAATTTCCGTGAATATATTTTTGGAATCTTGCGGTTCTTCCATTCTGCCTTTGATCTTGTTATAAGTCTCTTTCACATACAGACTGTATGCTGATGGTGTTGATTTGATTTGACCTTTGAAGATTCGCTGCTCTTCTTTGTTCAATATTTTCGAAACATTTTCCTGTTACACAAACAATTTAGGATTATATTTTTTTTGCATTTTTAGATAATTTTGTGATTTTACCGATCCATCCTGGGCTTCACTGACAGCTTTAATGACCCATTTGTACTTTTCATCCAGAGCCATATTTGTATAGCTTTCACGTAATGTGCTGTAATCGATCTCTTCCGATTTTTTACTTTCCGCATACAGCATAAATGGTGTTTTTGCTTTTGTCACTGGTGTGGATGCAGCCTTTGAAATGTTGCCCGATCTAAAATGATTCTCATTTAATCATCACTTTTTCATCTAAGATTTTTGTATACTCACTTAAAATCCTCTTTCTTTTGTTTATATTCGAGCCGAAGCTGCTCGGCCTTTCGTTCGTAACTAGAACGCTCTTCAGGCGATAGTTCTTTGTACAATGAGCTTAAATTTTTCATGGTTTCAGACTAAAAATGATGAATGACACGCCATGAGAATGGTAATAAAGACAGTAAACACTTGAAAATTAAACTTACGAAATCCCCACTTGACTTGACATGGGTCAATTGATCTTGTATGAACAGTTGGTAGCTGTTTAATGGTTTCTTTATTGGGCATTTTTTGATATTCGTCTCGATGTCAGTGACAATTTCGTTTAAATTACGATGGCGACGAACATGCTTCAAATGATTTTGAAATCGATTCTCACAATCCTTTGCCGAATAACTTTTAAATGCAATTTCATTCCAGTCCAATTGCTTCAAGCGCGTTTTGTAACTGACTTTGTCACTTTGTTTTGATGTTGATTTTACTTTCTGAACAAGCTTCCGGTCATCATCGCTGCTCCAGCCTGATTTGAAAGAGGGACAGAAAAATATTTGCCACTTGAAATTGTTTGATCAATTAAAAGTAGTTCAAATGAAAATAAAATCGATTTTTACCACCATCGCTTGAAAAACTGTCATCGTTTATGTGTAAAGTGCTGTCCACGCCATTGTAATCGGGCAGTTCGTTGTCCGTATCATCAGTATCTACAACTTGTGAATTGCTTTTGACGCGCTTCTTTTTCAATGTCTTGTTTGGACTTTTTTGCTAAAAAAAAACACGATAAAGTGAGGTTAGGTTGCTTCAATATAAACATTGCTTTTGGTTAGAAAAATGCCAACATTTCAATTTGCATTCTAATTCAGATTATCTTCTATAATTTCCTTTCAAGGGACTTTTTCGATTGAAAATCATAGCTCAAATATTTGAGCGCCATAAAATCACTATCAGATAATGCTTAAAATTGGGACGCATGTACGACTATGTTGTGTGTTCATGTTTTGATGCCAAATATTTTCATCGACACCTTTCCACATAAGATTAATTCACTTGACTTTAATAATTCACGAAATAAAGATTCATATGAAAACAAACTTACTTCTTCCATTTTAAGAATGTTTTTTTTTTTTTTTGATCAAACGCGATAACAGAATATCAACCACAACGCTTGAATTGAAAATCACATTTAATGTCACTCAGACTATGTGTCATAGTGTATGCATCTAATTTTTTGGAATGTCAAAATGGTACACAGCGCCACCTGGTGCAACATAGCTTCATTCCATTCTTCATTTTAAATGGCATTGGAATGGTCGAAGTAAATGTGAATTTTTTCCATAGATTTTAAAGAATTGAAAATATTTTAACATTTAATCATTTTTTTATTCATGAAATTGATTTCACAGATTTTAATTCACAGTTTTTTTTTTTCAAATTTGATGTGATATTTTCCCTTGACCGAAATAGCTGAAAGGAAATGTATCAAGGTATTTCTCGCCCCCTTTCAGATGTCTTCAGACGGTTGAAGATGGTATAATAAAAAAAAACCAAACAAATCATTCCTTTCGTTAAATTGAATTTCTCATTTAGTGCATTCTTGAGAATTCAATTCTGTTGTTTTTATTTACTACGAATTTTCGCACTTTCGAGCAGAAAAGGCGTAAAGGACCCTCAACAATTCATTGTGGCGTGTTTGAAGAGCGTATTCATGCTATAATCCATACACTCTTTTAAATGCACACTGAATTTATAATAACTAAGAATTTTCGCCTGACATTCTTTAAAAAAAACCAAATGCGTGCACTCATGAAAATGCACCTTTTCGGTTTGGTTCAGACTTTTAATTACAATGGATCTGGTTTGTTTTATTGAATCGGCATTACTTCTGAAAAGGAAAATATCGAAATCGACATTACTTCTTCTTGCATCGAAGCATCCAACGAATAATGATAATAAAACTATGAACGATGAATAACAAATGATCGTCCTAAATCTTGTTCTTAATAGTGTCACTTAAAGGATGGACCATCAACTAAGAAAGTTGATTTCTTGAAATGGCTTTTAGTTTTATTCGTTCCATGTGATTGAACCGATACATGAGTAAAACTAACGGAAATTCAGCCTACGCCAACGGGAGCACGTTGTGAAATATTGTGCTGAAAAAGTCGAAAAAAAAAAAACTAAATGGAATCGTCCGAGAAAAAAAATGCGTAACGAAAGTCAAAATAAAAATATGTAAACGTATCAATCGTTTTCCCCAGAGACAACTAAAACGTGATTAGACAACTAAAGATTTCTCTTTGGGGAACCATAACTGAAACCATTCGTACTCAACCGACATCACCGATCATCATCACCATCAAACATCGTCGTCAGCATATTAAACCCAATCTCCCATTCCGGAATCGGTTTTACTCGTGGCATTTCTTGTAATGTGTTTTCCATTTCGTTTTCTATATATACATCTTTTGTTGGGGTTGGTTTTTTCTTTTGCATCTTTTATTTTCTCACGCAAATAGATTTGAATGTGTTTGTGATTCGTTTTAATTTTTGCTCAACACTTGAGCCCGTCGAAGTGGAACAAGCGCAGCATTCCTTATATATTTAATAGTTTTGCATGAAGCATGCAAGCGACTGAATGTCATTTTTCTTGAAGTTGATTGTTGAATAACACTGCGATTGAATTCAATGAGATCTTCAAAATCAAGTCATTTGAAATAAATAGCATTTCCTGAGTGCATTTATTTACAAAACAATTGAAATATTTTCGCCACGGCACGGCAAAAATGATTAAGAATCAAATCCCGGTTAAATAATTGTCATTCATATTGCAAACGCTGTGTAATGAGGAAAAAAAACTTGACATTCGTACGAAGAAGATGAATAAAAAAAATGTGTAAAAGGGGGCAAACAATGAAGTTTGCGCATGAAGAAGAAAGAGTAAAAAAATTGCTATTTCCATTCACATTTTCAGTAATGTTCCACTGCAATTGTTTCAGTTTTATTTTGCACTCTCTCCTCACATTTTGATTTCAATGTGTTCTATTTGTTTTCCTTCATGTCAACTTTTTTCCTCGCTTGCAACTTTTTGCCATCTTTGGGCTTTTGCAAGTAAGAGCAAAAGTTGGAGCACACGACAGAGCAAAGAAAAAAAAAACGTGTAATAGTAAATATACGATAAAAAGCAAACCAAACCTTTACTTTTTCAACATTCGTTTTTCTCCCAGCTACGGCTGAAAGAATGATTCTTTTGTTTTTACGTTTGCAATTTTCTTTTCAATTCGAGAGATAGAGATAAATCTGCATGTTCTGGCATAATATTGAAGGAACAGAGAGTGTCATGTGGCATTGAAAGGGAGTGTGATACGAAGCAAGAGCGAAAGAGAAAGAGAGTAAAAAAGTGGCAACCAGATTGTGTGAATTGATAATGATGATGGTTTGAAATGAGCTATTCAACTGAATTCTCCACATATGCAACTGAAATTTAACCACAAACGCATATGAAATATGGATTTAATATGAATTAAAATGAAGATAGAAAAAAAAACCATACGACATTTTATCTATGGTGCACACTACTCTGTTGGATGTTCTCCATTCAGCATCAGCCTAATGCTCAAGAATGCACGCCAAAAGCGTATGCATTGGAACAAACGAAACCCAAAGTGATTGTGACCATATTAATTTGCGTCAATGGTCGCATTGAAACTCAATCTCGACTCTCGTCTTTTATGCAAATACGCAGTGAACGTACTTCGGGTATTATGAATCCACAAACATGCATTTCTAGCAGATATATCTATGTCATCAACAACATCTTTTGACGATGCAATGCCACAATTGAAATGGAATGTTATTTACCCAGAGATCCAAAAGAAAATCAAGGATTATACTTTTACTGGTATGTAGTTTTTTTTTTGCTCCGCTTTGCTTTGCTTCAGCCATTCAACCTCCAACCTCATATATACATACATCAATAACAAAAATCATTGGAACGAACAGTATTCGAGCATTGAATCTTATCTGCAATCATGTTTGACAGCAAACGAAGATAAACTATAGAAACGATGCAAACACACGCGTAAAGAGTGAAAAAAAGGAACGGCACAGTGCATTTTAAATTGAAAATTATTATGATGCTTCTGAAGTGATTCCAAGCACACTGCACAGTGCACACACACACACACACACACACACTACAGACGTATGAATTTTATCTCTTCAAATAAACCAATTCATCTTGAAAATTAGCTTGCACTTTGTGGCTCGGCTTTATTTCCCGAAGAAAATCTGAATAGACCTGTTCGCCTTCACAATTTATTGAAATGAAAAATGTTCTTTTCGATGGTGTTCAAGATAGCTTATTGAATGTAGATGCATAAAATTATTTCAAGCTTCTATTAAATGTATTTATACACAAAAGCCGACAAAATTGTTCGTTCTGTGAAGATAATGTTCGTTTAAAACAAAAAATTAAACCGGATGACGTCAAGTTTTAGCTAGAATATGTGTGTTTTTGTTCTCAACAACACATTTTGAAGGCTGAGCTATTGATATTTATTTTAAAAATGTTAATAAGATGCAATAAATAAAGAAAACTGAATCAATTGTTTTATTCGATATTTTATTTAAAAATTCAAATTGCATGTTATCATATAAATGTTGAACAAATTTGAATTGTTTGAAATACCCAGATGAATATTTTATTACAAGAGTTGAAGTGTTTCTTTTTCTTTTTCAGTTTTTCTGAATAGATCGCAGTTAGTTCTATCTCCCATTAAAATATCGATAAAAGCATATCGTAGGCCAAAATATTCATTTACAACTTGGTTGATTTTTTCAAGAGCTTTCTTGTAGGTAGTTTGGATTTTTTTATAATTTTTCAAGATGCTCGTTACATGGTTTGGATCTGCATTATTATTCAATTTTTGAATAATTGAATCTGTTTCACCGGAGAAAGCATTTCTCGCGCTATTTACTGCCGTCACCAAGTTTCCGAATCTATTTCGCCACCATGTATTTTTTCTTTTCATGATTGGTATATTATATGTGATTATAGTCAAAAGATCACTATTAAGAACTTCAGTATGCCAACTGTTATATACAATATCAGATTGAATTAGAGAGTTGATACCCATGTCAGATTGAAGATTTCCTAATAATTGATTGCATGAGGTATTTAAATTCTCCTGAATACCAAAAATCTCATTGATTACTTTGTTTATTGCAGTTTTATGCTTTGTAGACGTAAGATTGGCCAGACCTTGTACGTGAGTTTTCACCTGATCAGGGATTGTAAGCGGTTCAAATGCAGTTCTAACTGCGTCAGTTACTGGATATGGTTTGAATAGCACTGTCAACTCATGTCCCCAATCTCTATCTATTTCTTTGTTGGCCTTTTTGAAAGCTTTTTTTGCATTGAGGAATTGCATGCTATGAGTATCTAAGGCCGCAAGTCGATTATACTCAGTTTCAGCAGCATTTTTATTAGCAGCAGTCACTGGTTGAACTTTATCGACAAATTCATTGATGACTCTCTTAAAGGTTATTTGTCCCATAGATTCTTTGATGACCTAATACATTAGAAGAACCAAAAAATTTCCATTAAAATACAGCAAGAATTATTGATAATTTTGAATAGTCACCCCATCAAATATTAAAATCGACAAAAATACCGCAAATAAAAACTGCTTCATCGTTTCACTTAATATAATGGCGACGTCGAAATACATCTAAACTGTGCCATTGCTGGGTGTTTATATACTCTATTTAATCGTTCGAGTTATGCGTAAAACAAATAACACGGTCTGTAATTAACATTTTTAAAGTTCCTGGATATTTTCACGTAACTCGACTTTATTTCTAATATTCATAATTACAATGCTGTGGAAAAGAAAAATGAATTGAAATTTTGTGGTGACTTCAAAAAATTCAAATAAATTCGAGAAAACCATTTTCTGAAACAATTCAAACCGTATCTGTTATTCTGAATGAACAGACATTATATTGAGATATTTTTCAGCCAGATGAATCAGCTCAGGTAGATATCGTTAGGAGCTGAAATGGAGTGAAAACAATAAAAGTGAATGTTATAGTGATTGTAAGTGTAATTATAACCATAACAAACACTACTATTGTTTTCACCGGTTTTCACTTTTCACTCAATTTCAGCTCCTGACGATATCTGGCTGAAAATATCTCAGTATAACGCAGTATAATGTCTGCGTATGAATGTCCTACGTCAATTCTACGAAAACACCTTGAAAAATGGTTATTATACATTATACGTCGAATATCTCCGAATTTGAAATATTTTTTTAAACAAAAGTCACTTCGTTTATTCGATGAAACTTTCTCAAAACTCAGAATTCTCACTAGAGTGGCCGCGAAAACAACTGTTCAATGAAATTCTACTTGATTCGCATTGTGGACTTTTTCTATTTGTTGTGAATACTACGTGTGCAAAGTTTTACGATGATATCTCCACGTTAAGTCGAGCCTAATTCCTCTATCGGTCATTATGTGAATTTCTTGAAAAATAGCACTTTTGATTAATTTAAACACAACTTCAATCAACCACATCCACTCAAAATGAACTGAGGTCGTCATTTTCGACCATAAACTAACGACTGGAGAAGTTTCAAGTGATTTGGATGAAAATAAAATACATTTTCAGGCAAAATTTTCGATAGAGGAATTAGGCTCGACTTAACGTGGAGATATCGTCGTAAAACTTTGCACACGTAGTATTCACAACAAATAGAAAAAGTCCACAATTCGAATCAAGTAGAATTTCATTGAACAGTTGTTCTCGCGGCCACTTTAATTCTCACCCATGAGCGTATTTATTAACTTATCATCCGTCTAAGAACAAAATAATGTCATTAAAATTTTTAAAAAATATTTACAATAAGTCGAATTTTATTCACCAATAAATTAATGCAAATTTTCCTTCATTAACAACTTATTTTTCATACTTTATCAGACCAGAGATTATATGACGGCCTAAGAAGAAAACAATAACATACAGAATATTCTGCAAAA